TCCCATAAAGATTTGCAGCCTGGGAAACCCTGTGCAGGGTCGGAACTGACTCCACGGTACTTAACAACAATAATTCTTGGTATTGGATTCCTGGAGTGGCGCTGTGGGTTAATGCGCTGGACTGCAGGTTGGTTTGAACCGCAGGGCTGGTGGTTCAAGCTCACTAGCCGCTCCTCGAAAACCCTACACAGGGTCGCTATGAGTCGGAACCGACACAATGGCACTTAACAACAGCAACTCCTTATGTGCTGCTGTAAGATAAGCACTGGACTGAACCTCAAGGTTGACCATTCAAACCCATCAGCTGCTCCTCGGAAGCCCTATACAGGGTTGCTATGAGTCAGAATTGCCTCAACAGCACTTAACGACAACCTTAAACCAAAGGAGCCCTGGTGGTGCAGTCGTTAAGCATGTGGCTGCTACCAGAAAGGGTGATGGTTCAAACCTACCATCCTCCCTGTGGGAGAAAGCCATGGCGGTCTGCTTCCGTAAAGATTGTTGTTGTTAAGTGCTGTTGTTGTTGTTGTTATGTGCAGTGGAGTCGATTTTGACTCATAGCGACCCTGTACAGGGTTGAGTTGGTTTCAACTCACAGAAATCCCATATAGGGTTTCTAGGAGCAGCTGGTGAGTTTGAACTGCCTACTTGTGGTTAGCAGTCCAGCATCACACCAGGACCCCCAACCTTACAAAACCCTAGGAAACAGTTCTACTCTGCCTTACAGCAGTGGGTTTTGGTTTAACTCTGTTCAAGGATCCCTGTGGGTTAAGCATTAGGCTGCTAACCTCAAGGTCAGAGGTTCAAACCTACCAGCTACTGTAAATCAGAATTAACTAGAAGCAGTGAGTTGGTTTTGTTTTGTTTTTCAGTTCTGTCCTAAGTGTTCACAAATATTTATCCACCTGAGCTATGGCGTTTGCTCCAAGCACAGTTCTGTTAGGTAGATACTGTGACTGTCCCCTTATGTAAGTGAGGAAACCTGAGAGCAGAGAGCTTGAGTTGCCTCAGGTCCCTTATCTACAAGGGAGAGGTGCTTGCATTCACAGCTGGTCTGTGTGGTCACTGAGCCTGTATTCCTATCCTTGATGCCTTGTAGTCAAGGCTGGCACCCCTCCCTGATGGCATAGCCACTGCCGCCTCACAGAACCACACTCCCCGGGCCCTCCCTAACCCTAAAGGCCTGGTCTGGCTTTCCTTCTTCTGTCTCTCTTCTACCTTCTCTCTTCTATCTCCTTCTGTCTTCTCTCCTCTCCCTCTTTCCTTCCTTCCTTTCCTTACATTGAGGTCTATACCCACAGTACATGATTCTATATAACAAACCAACCCACCTCCTGCCATCCAGCCATTCAGCTCGTATTGACCCTCGAGGACAGAGCATAACATCCCTGTGTAGTTCCCTAGGCTGTCATCTTTATGAATATAGAGTACCACATCGTTTTCCCACAGAACTGCTAGTAGTTTGAACCACCACCCTTTCCAGTAGCAGCTGAGCACTTAACTACTGAGCCACCAGGGCTCCTAAGTGGTTAATTAAAAACTCAATTTCCAGCAAGTTGATTCTGATTCCTAACAACCCTGTACAGGGTTTCAGAGACTGTAAGTCTTCATGGAAGCAGACAGCCTCATCTTTCTCCCGTAGAACAGCTAGTAGTTTCAAACTGCTGACCTTGCGGTTTGCTGCCTGATTCATAACCACTAAGCTACCAGAGCTCCTTTAACAAATAATAGGAATTGTTTATATAGTGGTGGTGGTTATATGCCATGGAGTCAACTCGGTAGCACTTAACAGCAACAGGATCACTCATAGTGGTCAGATTTCATCAGAGCTTCCAGAGTAAGACAGACAAGGAAGAAGGAGAGGCGGGCTACTTCTGAATGGTTAGCCGCTGGAAACCTTATGAATAGCGTGGAACGTTATCTGATACAATACAGAAAGATGAATCCCTCGGGTTGGAAGTCACTCAAAATATGACTGGGGAAGAGCTGCCTCCTCTAAAAAGAGGTGACCTTAATGATGTGGATGGGGCCCAGCTTTCAAGGACATTCATTTGCTGATGGGGCAGAACTCAAAATAAGAAGAAATAGCTGCAAACGTTCATTAATAATAGAAATGTGAAATATACAAAGTATGAATCTAGGAAAGTCGGAACTTGTCACAAATGAAATGGAATGCATAAAGATTGATATACTAGACATTAGTGAACTCAAATGTACTGGTATTGGCCTTTTTGAATCCAATATTCATATGGTTTACTATGCTGGGAATGACAAAGTCAAGAGGAACAGGGTCACATTCATCATATAAAAAAGCATTTCAAGACCTATCTTGAAGTACAATGCTGTCTATGATAGGATAATATCCATACACTTACAAAGAAGACCAGTTACTACTTCTGTTATTGACTCATAGTGATCCTCTATAGGGTTTCTGAGGTTGTAAATCTTTGCAGGAGCAAAAAGCTTTACCTTTCTCCTGCAGAGCCTCTAGCTGCTGGGCTCAAACCGCTGAGCTGATGAAGAAGAAATTAGAAAAGAATTCTATCAACTTCTTCACTCTGAAATTGATTAAACATACATTCAAGATGCATTGATCTATATTGGTGATTGGAATGAAAAGGTTGGAAACAAAGAGGAAAGATTAGTAGTTGGAAAATATGGCTTTGGTGGTAGAAATGATCTAGACATTGCCTGATAGAATTTTGCAAGACCAACAACGTATCCAATGCAAATACCTGTTTTCAACAACATAAATGGCAACTATACACATTGACCTTGCCAGATGGAATACACAAGAATCAAATTGAACTACATCTGTTGGAAAAGACAATGGAAAAGCTCAATATCATCAGCCAAAAGAAGACCAGTCCCTGACTGTGGAAAAGGCCATGAATTGTTCATATGCAAGTTCAGATTGAAGCTGGAGAAAATGAAAACAAGCCCATGAGAGTCAAAATATGACCTTGAGTATATTCCACCTGAATCTAGAAACCATCTCAAGAACAGATTTGCTGCATTAGACACTAATGACCAAAGACCAGAAGAACTGTGGAATGACATTAAGAACATCATACATGAAGAATGCAAAAGGTCATTTAAAAGACAGGAAAGAAGGAAACAACCAAGGTGGATGTCAAAGAGACTGAAACTTGCTCTTAAGCACAGAAAAGCTAAATCAACTGGAAGAAACGATGAGATAAAAGAGCTGAACAGAACATTTCAAAGGGCAGCTCAAGAAAACAGGGTCAAGTATGATAGTAAAATGTGCAAAGGCCTGGAGTCGGAAAAGCACACTCAGCTGAAAGAACTGAAGAAAAATGTCAAGCCTCAGTTTGCACTATTGAAGGATTCTAAGGGCAAAATATTGACGGATGCAGGAAGCATCAAAAGAAAATGAAAAAAATACACAGAGTCACTGTACCAAAAAGAAAAGGTTGCTGTTCAGCCATTTCAAGAGGTAGCATATGATCAAGAGCCAGTGGTGCTGAAGGAGGAAGTCCGAGCTGCACTGTAGGCACTGGTGAAAAATAAGGCTCCAGGAATTGATGGAATAACAATTGAAATGTTTCAGCAAACTGATGCCACTCTATAGACACTTACTATCTATGCCAAGAAACTTGAAAGACAGCAACCTGCCAGTTCTTTGGAAGAGATGATAACTGTGCCCATTTCAAAGAAAGGTAACCAAACAGAATGCCAAAATCATTGAACAATAATATTAATATCACATGCAAGTAAAATTTAGCTGAAGAGAATTCATTAAACAGTTGCAGACAGGGAGCTGCCAGAAATTCAAACCAGATTCAAAAAAGGATGTGGAAGGAGGGATATCATTATGATGTTGGATGGATCTTGGCTGAAAGCAGGGAATATCAGAATAATATCCACTTGTTCTGTTGACTACACAAAGATACTGCCTGTGTGGATCATTATAAACTAAGGGTAACATTGTAAAGAATGCTTAATTGTGCTCATGAGGAACTTATACACAGGACAAGAGGCATCTGTTCAGACAGACCAAGGGGACACTGAATGGTTTAAAATCAGGAAAGTCGTGCACCAGAGTTGTATCCTTTCACCATACTAAATCTGTATACTGGGCCAATAATCCAAGAAGCTGGATTATATGAAGAATAACATGGCATCAGGATTGGAGGAAGACTCATTAACAACTTGTGATAATACAGATGATACAACCTTGCTTGCTGGAAGTGAAGAGGAGTTGAAGTACTTAGGGATGAAGATCAAAGACTACATCCTTCAGTATGGATTGTACTTCAATGTAAGGAAAATGAAAATCCTCATACCCGAACCAATAAATAACCTCATGATAAATGGAGAAAAGATTGAAGTTGTCAAAGATTTCATTTACGTGTAGCCACAATCAATACTCATGGATTCAGCACTCAAGAAATCAAATCCCATACTGCATTAGGCAAATCGGCAAAAGACCTCTTTAAAGTGTTAAAGAGCAGATGTCACTAAGGTGAGCCTGATCCAAGCCAAGGTATTCTCAATCACCTCATACACACCTTAAAGCTGGACAATAAATAGGAAGGCAAGAGAAGAATTTGAATGATGATGTTGGTGAAGAATATTGAAAACACCATGGGCTGCTAAAAGAATGAACAAATCTGTTTTAGAAGAAGTACGGCCCGATTGTTCATTAGAAGGAATGCTGGTGAGACTTTGGACTTTGGACATGTTGTCAAGAAGGACCAGTCCCTGGAAAAGGACATCATGCTTGGCAAAGTAGAGGGTCAACAAAAAAGAGGAAGACCCCTAATGAGATGAATTGGTACAGTGTTAGTTAGGAACAGTAGCTCAAATACAACAATTGTGAGACTGGCACAGGACCGGACATTGTTTCCTTCTGTTGTACACTGGGTCACTATGAGTTGGAGAAACTCAATGTCACCTACTAACAATTTTTGTGTCCTGTTTAAGTAATGTTTGTCTACGCCATGTAAACATTCCTGACTGGTTTGCTTTTTTTCCTGTAGGGCTAGGAATGGCCACAGGGAAAAGACCGAGCCAGAAGCCTCAGGCAGCCACGGCAGCTGCAGAGGGGGACCCAAATCTGCCCCTGGGCCGGGAATTGGCTGAGGCCAACCGCTTTGCCTATGCTGCAATCTGTGGCATCTCATTGTCCCAGCTGTTTCCAGAACCTGAGCACAGGTGAGTGCTTTTGTCTGACAGTGGGAGGGTCTTCCCAGGTTTTCTTCAAGTAGGCCAAAGCAGCTTGCTAGATACCATGGGAGGGTGGAACTGGGGGGCTCAGTCACAATCAGGTAGGGTCCCCTCATTCAGTATTCACTCATGTATACCTCCACCAAGCATTTTTGAGAGGATAATCACTGGCCTGTAAACTACAAGGTAGGCATTTTAAGCCACCATCCATTCCAAGGGAGAAAGATGACGCTTTCTGCTCCCGGAAAAAATTTACAGCCTCAGAAACCCTGTAAAGGCTTGCTATGAGATGGAATCAACTCAGTGGCATTTAACAACAACAACAACAGCAACAACTGTTTACTGGGCTTGTTTGAAGTACATGGAGGATGGATAGATTGGTTGATAATTTTTGTTAGGTTCCATCGAGTCAGTACTGACTCATAACGACCCCTATACACAACAGAACGAAACACTGCCTCTTTTTATCTGACCCTCCACTTTACCCAACACGGTATCCTTCTCCAGTGACTGGTCCCTCCTGATAATGTGTCCAAAGTGTGAGACACAAAGTTAGGCCATCCTGGCTTCCAAAGAGCACTCTGGATGTACTTCTTCCAAACACAGATCTGTGTGGTCTTTTGGCAGTCCATGGTACTTTTAATATTCCTCTCTAACACCATAACTCAAATGCATCAATTCTTCTATGATCTTCCTCATTCGCTGTCCAACTTTTGCTTGCATATGAGGTGATTGAAAATACCATAGGTTGGATCAGGTCTCAGACTGACTTTTTTGCTCTAAAACACTTTAGGGAGGTTTTGTGCAGGAGATTTACTTAATGCAGTATGTCGTATGGTATCTTGACTACGCCTTCCATGAGTGTTGATGGTTGATCCAAACACAATGAAGTCTTGGAGAACTTCAGTCTTTTCTCCATTTATATGGATGTTGATTATTCATCCAGTGGTAAGGACTTTTTTTTTTCTTTACATTGAGGTGCAACACATGCTGAAGACTTACTTGACTACATCTAATCTATCTACATAGATAGATAGATAGATTAAATTGATAGGTACATACATACATATATAGGTAGATGATAGATGGATGGATGGATGGGTGGGTGGGTGGGTGGATGGATGGATGGATGGATAGATAGGTAGATTGATTGATAGATTGATTGGTAGGTAGGTGAGTGGGTGGATAGGTGAATGCATGGATGGATAGATAGATAGGTAGGTAGGTAGATAGATTGATTGGTAGGTAGGTAGGTGGATGGATGGGTGGGTGGGTGGATGGATGGATAGATGGATAGATAGATAGATTTGCTAACTGTTAGGTCAGCAGCTCAAGCCCACCAGCTGCACCAAAGGAACAAAATGAAACTGTCTGCTTCCATAAAGATTCACAGTCTCAGAAACTCTATGATTTAGAATCAAGTCAGTGACAGTAGGTTTGGGATTTTTGTATTATATATACAAATCGACTTTTAAAAGTTTCTGGAAAAAATGGAATTAAAAGATAATGGCATCGAAGCCCCTTGTATTTTGTTGTTTTCCGTTGTAGTCATTTCTGACTCGATGACCCAACATGTACAGGGTAGAAATGTTCCACAAGCTTTTCAAGATTGTGACCTTTCCAAAGCAGATCACCAGGTCTGTCTTCCGAGGTGCCTTGGGGTGGGTTTGAACCACCAACCTTTCAGTCATCAAGTGTTTAAGTGATTTGCCACCCAAGGGTTTTGTTTTTAATAAAACAAACCCTGTCCCTGCCTCAAGTCTAACAGGAGGATAAGATCCTTATTCGTTAACATGCATTTGTTGAGCACCTACTATATGCTGGATGTAGTACAAGACCCTGTAGAAGAAACAAAGAAGAGCCAAATGTGGTTCCTGCCCATGGGTGTTTGCCGTCTAGAGGAGGCACTTATATCAGTGATTGCAATAGTGGCGGGTGGGTAAGTGCCATGAAGGATTTCAATAGGGTCATGTGGGAACAAGAGAATGAGCGGTGTGATGACAGTGTTGTTTTAATGTCTGTCGTTTATCAATATCGTGTGTGTTTGTGTGTGTTTACATCACCTTTTTGAAGTGTGTATGGTGGTGATGGTGTGCTGTAGAGCCCATTCCAACTCATAGTGTCCCTGCATAGGGTTTCCGAGACTGTAAGTCTTTACGGGAGCAGACAGCTTCATCTTTCTTCTGCAGAACAGCTGGTAGTTTCGGACTGCTGAGTTTGTGGTTAGCAGCCTGACTCGTAACCAGTATGCTACCAGAACTCCTTGAAATCTGTATAGCAGAGTTGTTAAAAGCATGGGCTTTGGAATCATCCAGACCTAGGATTAAATCTAGGATCTGGTTGTAAGGCTTTGCCTCCCTGAGCCTTAGTCCCCTCATCTGTAAAGTGGGTGATGCTAATAACCTACTCAATCAGGGTTGTTGTGAAGATTAAGCAGTGGGGTGAGGCACGTTTAGTCCAGTGCCCAATACATGTGAGCTCTTTTCATTATTAAAGCAGGGGAAACTTCATGGGGAAGTGACATCCAGGCTGGGCTTTCAGAGCCAGTCAAATTCTGACCAAGATGGCGATAAGGCACCTGCACTGGCCAAGGGGAGGGCTGCCTTGGCAGATGGGGAGGGAGTTGGGTAAGTGGGGCTTTGGGCTCCAGGAACTCTGTGTGACATGACTGGAGAGGAAACTCTGAGATGGGTCCATGGAGGGTCTTGAGGGCCAGGTGGAGGATCATGGCCTTTGTAGATAGTGAGGAGAGGTTGGAAGATTGCAGCAGGCCAATGACTTAATTGGATTTCTACGTTTAAAAGCTTCAATCCCCCAAATGTGTCTGGAACTGTTAGTACTGGAGCCAATAGAGAGCATAAGAAGCAAGGATCCCAGAGACAGTGGGAATGGGAGGCCAGTTAGAAGGCTGGTGGTGGTGCCAGGGAACCAGGGCAGTGCCCAAGGTGGGGCACAGATGGGACAGATTTTCTCAGGGCAGACAGAGCCAATTTGGGGACAGGTGAATGTTGTAGGTGAGGCAGAGGGAAGAACTAGCGATGGCTGTAGAGGTTCAGGCAGGGTGGGGAGTGTAGGAGAACAGAAATATCATTACCGAGACTGGGAGCAACCATTTGAGGTTGTAGAGACAAGAAGGTCTTTTATCAGTAGCATTTTCAGGAACCCTCAACTCAATGATCCCTCACTGAGTAAACTTCCCTCATCTCTTGAGTCTTAGCTGTTTCTTTGTTGTGTTTTTAAACCTTTGTCTCTCTTAGTAGACTGAGCACTTAGATTTATTCATCTCCTTGGGGGAGTCACTTCCTGGAAGCTTTTGAAAACCCCTCCCCCCTACACACACACACCACGTTGGGATGTTTTTCCACCAGTACTCTCCCGGCAGCCTCTCCCGGCAGCCACCACATGGCGGTGTTACTCTCCCCAGGCCCACACCCCTCCAGTTTGGGCTCCTGGAGGACAGGAGCTGCCTTGTCCATCTCTGAGCCCCCCAGTGTCTGGCATCCAGCCTGGTAAAGGTTTGTGAAAATGAAAATGGCTATATGCTGACTTTGTTTTGTAGCACAAGAGGCCTTCCCCCGGCTTTGACTCAGATCTGGGTTTAAGTGCTAACTCTGTCACTTTCCAGTTGTAGATGACCTGGGGCAAGCTATTTGACTTCTATCAGCATCAGTCCTCATCATATCTGTAAAATGAAGGTGGGGCGAACCATACCCACCTTGCGGCATGAGCTGAGATTTAAATGGGATCATGTTGGGGAAGCCTACCTGGTCGGTGCTCGCTAGATGCTGACTTACTCTCTTTGCCTCACTTTCCTCCTCAAAATTGGGATCGTTCTGGAAACTGCCCCTGTCATTTGGGGGCCTGGTATGGCATAGTAGGATTAGCACTGGACTGCTAAGTGCAAGGTCAGTGATTCAAGCCCCCAACAGCTGCTCCTCTGAAATCCTATCTAGGGTCACTATGAGTCGGCACCCACTCAACAGCACTAACAACAAAGCAACAACCCCTACCAGTCAGGGTAGTTCAGCTACAAGTAACAGAACACTGTACTAAAAAGAGATTTAAATGATAGATTTTTCTCATTTAATAAGAAATCCAAAAGTAGGTATCTCCGACATTAATTTAGTGTTGCAAAAGCCCTTTGGATTGGCTTCTGTGCAATTCTCTTGACTTTCTCTGCTTGGTCACAAAATGGCTGCTGAAACTCCAGACATCACACCCTCAAAGGGCAAAGCCCAAGAAGAGGAGAGAAGGGTTCTCCTCAAATCTCACATTGGGAGGAAATCTTTTTTGGCATACCATGAGAAAGCTTCCCCTTTTTGTTCATTGACCAGATCTGGTCACATGCCTGAGCCCCAGTTGCAAAGGAGGCTGGGGGTGAAAAAAGGCCAACTTGACCTCCATCTTGAGAAGTGGGCTCTGATGACCAGGAAGGGAGGGCTAGGGAATCACAACCGAAGGGAACTGCGGACAGTATCTGCCATCACCAGAGAAGTTGGTTGTGAGGAGGTAGTGATTTGATGGCCCCTTCAAAATCTGACTTAGAACCACCACCAAGTTCATGTTGTCTGTTTTCATTATTAGCAATGAAGCCAGCCACATACTCAGTTGGAGGTTAGAAAGCATCTCATTGGGATATTCTATCTCCGGTCTAGCAGATGCCTCATCTCCAGCAAGTGTCAGATTTCCTCCCCGCTCTGGTCCATGTTGTTGCCATCAAGGTGACCTCCAATTCTTCGAGTTGTGTGGTGGAATGAAACACTGTCCAGTCTTGTACCATCCCTGTGACTGGCTGCCAGTTGGATAGTTTTGATCCACAGAGTTGTCACTGGCTAATTTTTGGGAGCAGATCACTAGGCTTTTTGTCTTAGTCCTTCTTAGTCTGGAAGTTCTACTGGAACCTGTGTAGAAGCATCATAGTTGTTGTTAAATGCCTTCAAGTCGGTTCCGACTCATAGCAACCCTAGAGAGTTGTAGAGTTCCCAAGG